CAGGGGGGAAACCCAGGAAGACGCAAGGAGCAGCACGAGGGGACAGCTTGTCCGCAGACAAGTCGCGGACAAACGCCCGAGATCCCCAGACACGGAACGCCGACGCATCGCCAACCTTCCCCGTCCACAGTAAAGCTGGGGAGGTCTCCGGTCTAAAGACCCTGGGCTGAAGGTTGATCTGATGCGCGGCGTACCGAACCGCAAACGGCCACAGAAAATGGGGGGCAGCCGCATGCACCATGGACGTACGGGCGACGTCCACGACAATGCCGATGCGGCGCTCAGCAATCCCATTCTGCTGTGGAGAGTCCGGAAGCATGAAGGTCTGGCGGATGCCTCGTGCCCGGCAGTAGGCTCGCAGAAGGCCGGAGGAGAACTCTCCGCCTCTGTCCGAGTGCAGGCGCAAAACAGGAAAGTCCGAGCCGAAGCTCCGCCTGAGCTGGAGACGAGCTGCGCGGATCCAGTCGATCAGCACCTCAGTGACCTCACCCTTGCTGCGCAAGGGGAAGACTGTGGTGTAACGCGAGTAGTCGTCAACCACCAGCAGGAAGTAGCGCTCGTGACCCTGTCCACGGACGCGGGCTGGGCCCCACACGTCCATGTGAAGTGTCTGCATCGGGGCCTCCGTCGGAGGAAACGGGGAGGAGTGAGGGGTAGCCCGCAGGCGACCCTCGACACAGGGGACATAGGGAGGGCCAGGCCCCGGAGGAAGGGGAGGGAGGGACCGGGGAAGGCCAGAGACAAGAAGGCGAGAGGCCATGCCCCGGAGACGAGGCAGGGAGGGGTGACCCATCCTGTGGTGCCACAGGAGGGTCTCGTGGGACAGGAGGCGACACGAGCAGGGGGCAGACTCAAGACTAGACCTGGACGCTGCAGCAAACACCTGACCCAACGCAGCTTCCTGACCAGACGCAGGAGGAGGAGACGGAACAGTGAGAGTGTACAGGCTCGACCCCGGCCCACGTGTGAACGTGGTCAAGTGTCGACCCGTGTCCGCGTCCGTGCAGTGGGTGTCCCGTCGGCGTGCAGGGGTGAACTGGTCGACCCCTGCATCCTGTAGGTCAGCACCCGCCACCAAGTTCGTAGAGAACGAGGGGAGGTAGAGACCGGACAGGGCGCCAGACGGGACCGCAGGGCACGGCAGGACAGTGGAGTAGCGAGCCAGAACAGGACCCCCAGAGGGGTCCGCCAGGGAGACCGCCACTGGCCGACTAAGCGGCGTGAGTGTGGTGCGGTCTCGAAAGAAGGAGCGAGACGCCCCTGAGTCAAGAGTGAAGGTGAGAGAGGGCGGAGTCGACGCAGTACCTGAGAGAGCAGAATCACCAGCACCTGAGGACACAGACTCACTGGCACCTAGAGCGACAGCCTCACCAGCACCTGGAGCAGTAGCCTCAACAGCACCTAGAGCCGCAGTACCAATGCCCGGGTCGGGCGGGAAACAACGGTAACAGTCACCCTCCTCACTAATAGTCACAGCATACATAGCAGCAAGAATAGCATCAAAGTCAAGATCAAAGATAGCTACTCCAGCCCTAGACAGTTGGTCCCAGCGAGGGATCTCAGAGGCGTCAGGAAACTGGCGGCGCCAAGCGTCAGTCAGGCGGCTGAAGCAGCGCTGGGCGGAGTGTGGACCACCACACGGCTCACCCGCACGGTCGCCAGGTGCAGCGGCGGGGCCGTCTGAAGCAGCGGCGGGGCCGGTAGAGGGGACGGCGGGGCCGTCGGGTGCAGCGGCGGGGCCGGCAGAGGGGACGGCGGGGCTGTCAAGTGCAGCGAAGGGGCCGGCAGAAAGGGACGGCGGGGCCGTCAGAAGGGGATGGCGGGGCCGTCAGGTGCAGCTGCGGGGCCGGCAGGTGCAGCGGCGGGGCCGGGAGGTGCGACGTCGGGGTCGGCAGCGGCAGTAGCGGGGCCGGCAGCGGCGACGTCGGGGCCTGCAGAGGCAGGCGATGAGGCCGCGTTGGCGGCGCTAGGGGGCCGCGAGGGCGGCGCGACGCAGCAGAGCCGCGAGGGCGGCGCGACGCGGCCGTAAGGCCAGCGCGACGTAGCCCGGGCCGCGCGCGCGAAAAAAAAGGTCGCGCGCGCGACTCGCGGGGGCCACAAGGGCAGCGCTAGAAGGACTAGGGGGAGCGCGCTTCGGGGAGAGAAGGGCGCGCTCCGGGCAGCGAAAATTTCGTGGGTGGGCCCTTAAAAAATGGTCCTTAGGAAGGACCCGCTCTATACCATGTTGAGATTAGAGAGAGAATGAATGCACTATGAAATGAAACAAGTACAAGTACCAACCCTAATTGGGTTGTACCCCCTATGGGCTACCCCACTACAGCCTAAATATATGCATCAGCAATATAATCATCTGACATAACTAATCATATACCAGCAATCACACAGGGCTGAGCAATGACTCCTTTTGTGCTCTTGAAAGGTGCTCCCCCTGACATAATATTCCTACCTCATATCCTATTATTTCACAGGATGGGCTCACCGAAAACCTACGCTGAGTTAAGCGTACTATTTCGGAACCTCAAGTCCAAAGGAGCGTCGCCGTCAAACAGTCAAGGAGATACCTGCAATGTTATTTCCCTTGCTAGCGACTCTACTACTTATCGAAATCTCACCACCGCCAAAGGGGGTTGCCGCGGGCGCTACACGTTTGGACACACTACGCGCATTGGGCCTGTGTCAGAGGTGGTAGCCCGTGCTATAGTTGCACAGCTGGTGGATCAGGGTGCTTAGGGTACATTCCGCTGTGGACATGTCCCTTAAGAAAGTGTCGCAATCGATTTTCCGCCGAGTTGCGTCCAAATGTCTCGACATCTCATGTCACAAAGAATGAATGTATATGCTGTCAAATTATAATATTGTGAAGGCTATAGTGGGGTAGCCTATATGGGGTACACATTTCTAGGGTTGCATATTTGTATCACTTCCATTCCTTAGTCAATCCATTCTCGTTCTACTTTTCTCATATGCGACCTGGATATTGTGCGCGACAATCACATGTGCTGCGTCATGATTGGCTCCAATATTCACGATGCACAGTTCAAAAAGTTTGGGTGTGGCCATAATGGGCAGACAAATCTACCACTTCACACCCAATATAGCACAGGCCTGCAGAGATGACAGGCGCGGGATTGTCGCGATCTTTTCGCGCTCTAAACAACCACTCCCTGCTCGTTTTGTACAATTGATGCATGTTTGAGCCCCTCCCGGTTGCCTTGTGAAGGGGGCGTATAAGCTGTAACGAGCATTTCGCATAAGTTTCGTCAATTCACAGCTAGCTAAAAAGGATTCGCAGGTGCTTATAAACAAGACATGTTACCTTATTCGACTTGAGTCTCTTCTGCTTGACCTCGGTCTGTTCGTTACTATTGGTTGATAACCACACGACGCGCTTATAACGTGGGAGCAACAGGCTGGGGAAACAACCTCGGGTGCAGCGTTTCCATCCGGCGCAAGGCAAATTCGCGTGCACTGGTTGGGCATCAATTGTACAATCGTGTGAAAATTTCGAGCTGTAACTAAATGTCCAGATACAGGCAGATGGGCCTGACATTTGGAGCCGCGTGCGATGGCTGGTCCAAGACACGGTTGCTTGCAATTCGCGTGCGACTGTTGCGTGGTTGATGGTATCCAATGATAAATACACGCCATAACATTCTCACGCGGTTAGGAATCCTGACACCTGGCAGCATATGCTGTATTCACGCGTCACAATCGATTGCGACGCTTTCTTAAGGGACATGTCCACAACGGAATGTGCCCTTATGACAAGGTGGGGCATCCAGAAAACTTAGTGGCACTCTGTGGTAAGTTGAAGAAAGCGTAGAAATAGTCGCAATTTAGAAAGCTTGCTTTCTTGTTGTAGCAATGGCATCGTCTCATTTCAAATGGCACAGTACATACATGTCCAAGCTAGCATGCAATTATTCTAAAACAATCTACTATCCATCATTGGTCCCAGTTCTACGGGGTGGGTGGGCGGGAAACTAGGCTAAGCCGTTTGAAAATGAAAGACGTGGGTGGAGGGAAATGACCTCCAGCCCACGTTTTGTACTCCAAAACGGGCATTTAGCGCGGTTCGCCGATGACCATTGCTACATTACAAGCCGCTTCACTCTCAAGATACAAAATTTTGAAAAGCGTTACAGCCTTTAAAAATATTCATTTAGCATATTTTTTTTCACTGGTTTCCTGGTTTTTTTTTTACAGCGAGAGGGGGTGGTGTGTAGTGTAGCATGTTTTGTGTGCGCACAGTAGTGGAAAAGAGTGAGGGCTCTAAATTTTCCGAACCATAATATCATGACCAACTGGTTTCAGATTGGTTTGGGTTTAGATCGCTCACTCTAAACGCCACCCCTTTTGAAGCAATTCTGTTTTTTACCAGACTCAAACCATTTCAAGGTGAAGGTGTGGCAAGAATCTGCAGAACAGAATCAACTGCCAGTGTGCCGCCCTCGGTGCCGGCTTTGAGCGAGCATTTTTTTATGGTGCTGATGTGGCAAGAATACGCAGAACAATCCCTACGGCCAGTGTGCGGCCTCCCTCTCTGAGCGTGATGCGGCCAAATGCACGAAAGTCTGGGTAGGCTTCGAGACACACACCACGGTCCAGAGACAACTGCGGGCCAGAGGGGAGTGAGTTGGGTTAGAGTGGAGCAGTGGAGGGGGAAAGAACGCAGTGTGACGAATGGTTACACAATGCACGGAAGACTGAGTGGGCTTCGAGGCACACACACACCACCTCCCTCTTCCCTTCCCTACCCCCCAGGGCCCCCTCTCGTACACCTCCAAGATATCACCCTGCTTGGATACCACGGCTCTAAGCTTGGCCCTTCCCAACCCTTTCCCTCCCCCCATATTTCCCCCCACCTTCCCCCTCCTCCCCTCCCTCTCACCTCCACAATGGCACTCTGGTTAGACCCCACGGCTCTGGGCTTGGCCCACGCAGCAGCACCCGTCTTGGACCTTATTCCCTACCTCCCTCCCCCACTGCCTTATTCACCTTCATTCCCCCTGATCTGATCCTCCCTCCCCTCCCCTTCTCACCTCCACGACAGCACTCTGGTTGGACCCCACGGCTCTGGGCTTGGCGCGGGCAACAGCACCAGTCTTGGCGTCGAGAATGGCTGTGAGGGCAACAACGCGACATGCTTCCTTGGCTGCATGCGCGTGCAGAATGGCCTGGGGGAGGGGAAGCGGAGGGGTTGACGGGGAAGAGGGGGGGAAGAGGCAAGGCACATGAATGGATCTTGTGAGAAGGCACGCTCTGGTAGTTATTGAGACGTCTCAAAAACACCCTCTCTACACGTGGATCTGGAGGGGCGTGAAAAGGCACGCTCTGGTAAGCAGTGATGGGAAGTGGACTGCCCTGCCCTCCTTACGGGTCTGGTATTGTGCGCCCCTAGCCCACAGCCACTCACATTGGTGCCTCTGAGCAGAGGGATCTTGAGAAGGCGCGAGTGAGAAGGACCTTGAGGAGAGTGAGAAGGACCTTGAGGAGAGTGAGAAGGACCTTGAGGAGAGTGAGAAGGACCTTGAGGAGAGTGAGAAGGACCTTGAGGAGAGTGAGAAGGCGCGCCTCCACTCTGGTGGCCATGGGAATGGCACAGCAACAACTGCCCTGGTCTGGTTCCTCACTCACTCTACCCGCACTCACATTGGTGCCTCTCAGAAGAGGGATTTTGAGGTCGAGAGTGAGGCGCGCCTCCACCCTGGTAGCTACAGGAATGGGGCATGCACCTCACAGCCCCTCACATTGGAGCCCCTGCCACTCACATTGCTCCACTCGCCCTCACATTAGTGCCTCTCAGCAGAGGGATCTTAACGTCGAGAGTGAGAAGGCGCGCCTCCACCCTGGTGGCAACAGGGATGGGGTGGTCCGGGTGGCACAACAACAGCAAGTGCTCTGGTCTGGTCCTTGTACTGCCACTCACACTCTTCCACAGCCACTCACATTAGTGCCCCTCGAAAGAGGGATCTTGAGGTCGAGGGTGAGAAGGCGCGCCTCCACCCTGGTGGCGATGGGGATGGGGCCTGCAAGCCATGCCCCAAGCCAATCAAGCAGACACAGCAACAAGTGCTCTGGTCACTCACATTGGTGCCTCTCAGCAGAGGGATCTTGAGATCGAGAGTGAGAAGCCGCGCCTCCACCCTGGTAGCTACAGGGATGGGGTAGTCCGGGTGGCACAACAACTGCTCTGGTCCCTTACCCTCTCTACAGCCACTCACATTGCACCACACACACTCACGTTGGTGCCTCTCAGCAGAGGGATCTTGAGGTCGAGGGTGAGAAGGCGCGCCTCCACTCTGGTGGGTACCGGGATGGGGCATGCAAGCCCCCACCTTACAGCCCCTCACATTCGTGCCCTGCCACTCACATTGGTGCCTCGGAGCAGAGGGATCTTGAGGTCGAGGGTGAGAAAGCGCGCCTCCACTCACTCTGGTTATGATGAGATGAGTGACGGGCATGATGAGAACTGCGACACAGCCACTCACATTGGTGCCTCTCAGCAGAGGGATTTTGAGATCGAGAGTGAGAAGGCGCGCCTCCACCCTGGTAGCTACAGGGATGGGGTAGTCCGGGTGGCACAACACGCCACCTGGCAGGAGCTGATTGGCCTCCCCGCCCTGAAGGCCCACGTCCACGCTCTCCCCCGCCCATGCTGCTGCCACCGGTGATTCGTCCCGCTCTAGGGCCTTCACTGTTGCTACTGCCGCCCCGGGCATCACAAGCACCTGGGGGGAAGGGGGTAGGGGAGGGGAGGAAAGCGAAGCGGAGGAGCGAAGAAGAGAAGGTGAGAAAGGGATATCCAAGTGATTGGTCTCCACGCCCTGTAGCCCCACGTCCATGCTCTCCCCCGCCCATGCTGCTGCCACCGGTGACTCGTCCCGCTCTAGGGCTTTAACAGATGCCTGGAAGGAGCCCGGCATTACCAGGACCTGGGTGGCAAGGGGAGGGGAGGAAAGGGGAAGGAAGGGGAAAAGGGGAGATTGGGAGAAGGGGAAGAGAGAAGAAGCGAAGGGGAGCAGAGGGTTTGGAGTGATTGCATACTCTCAGCAGCCCCAGGATCACACTCCCGCCCGCCCGTGCTGCCACCCACGTTACTACCACACACCACACTGCCCCTCGTCCCTTCGCTCACCTTGGTACCGGCTCGAATTGCCCCACCCACACTCCACTGCCACGCCTGCCTAATCCAGCCCAGGCCCCTCGTGTTGAGCATTTCGGCCCACAAAGCCCAGAAGGCTTTCTTACCTGCCGCCAAGACTCTGCATCTCATCACTCACCTTGGTACCGGGTCGCATGGCCCCGCACTCTACCTTCCCCGCCACTCCTGCCTATCCCAGCCCCCTCGTTTTTTTTGAGCACCTCATTCCATCCACCCACCCGCACCACCCCTCATCCCTGCCTAATGTGTTACCACCCACCCACACCACCCCTCATCCCTTTTCTCACCTTGGTACCGGCTCGCATCGCTCCACATTCCAATTTCCCCGCCACGCCTGCCTGCCCCAGCCCCCTCGTTCTGAGCACTTCGGCTATCGCCAGGCGCAGCGGGCGGTTGAGAGCGCGAGGAGGGGGGGAGAAGGAGTCAACGGCTTCTAGAAGGGTTGGTCCTGTGTACCTGTGTAAGAGGGAGTAGGGGGGAGGTGGGGGTGTATGAGAGAAATGGAGTTAAGGAGGAATGAATGGCTTTCAGGCAGGTTGGACCCGAGTACCTGTGGACAGGTGTGTGGGTGATGGAGGAGACAGAGGAGAGGCAGAGATGGAAGGGCATCGAAAGGGTCCTCCCATGGACCCCACTTAAACAGACAAATACAAGCCGCTGCAAGCAGACCAAATTACCTCAAGACAACATGCTTCCTCGCCACTTCTTCTCACAGTGACTTGAGCCGATCGTCAGTCGGTGGGCTAAAGATTCTCCCCTTGGAGCCCGCTCAGTGGCATGCTAAAGATTGAGGTGCGGTGAAGTGCATTGCACCCCCCTTGGAGCCCGCTCAGCAGCGGCACGGCACGCACATCACCGCACCTCAATCCCCTTCCCTCTTGGAACTGCATGCTTTCTCACCACTGGTTCAGCTCATCACTCAATCTCTCACCACCTCTCACCATATCACTCCATTTCTCACCAGTTCTTCAGCCGATCGTCTGTAGGAGCCGAGTCTAGATTCTCCCCCTGCAGCCCACTCAGCGGCACCCACCGCACTGCACCGTCCCGGAACCCGCACTGCCGGGTCAGGAACGGCCCCAGCACCCCTTTAATGCGCTCAAACTCGCCCTGCTCGAACCCGGTAGCGTCCATTTTGTTCACCACCACGCACAGCTGCTCCACCCCCAGGCTCCTGGCAATCTGCGCGTGCTCCTTGCTCTGCCCCACGTCCTCTCCCCCCTGGCCCCCTCCCATGCCTGCTTCGAATGCCCCTGGCGTGGCGTCGATTACTAGAAGGGCCGCATCAGCCTGGGGGTGAGACAGGACAGACAGGAGAGACAGGACAGACAGGGGACAGGGGAGAGGGGAGAGGGAGAGTCCATTTTGTTCACCACCACGCACAGCTGCTCCACCCCCAGGCTCCTGGCAATCTGCGCGTGCTCCTTGCTCTGCCCCACGTCCTCTCCCCCCTGGCCCCCTCCCATGCCTGCTTCGAATGCCCCTGGCGTGGCGTCGATTACTAGAAGGGCCGCATCAGCCTGGGGGTGAGACAGGACAGACAGGACAGACAGGACAGACAGGGGACAGGGGAGAGGGGAGAGGGAGAGTCCATTTTGTTCACCACCACGCACAGCTGGTCCACTTCCAGGCTCCTGGCGATCTGCGCGTGCTCCTTGCTCTGCCCCACGTTCTCTTCCCCTTGGCCCCCTCCCATACCCGCCTCGAACGCGCCTGGCGTGGCGTCGATTACTAACAGGGCTGCATCGGCCTGGGGAAGAAACAGGGAAGAGACGGGAGAGAGGAAGATTCCATTTTGTTCCAACCCCACACAGCTGCTCCACCCCCACGCTCCTGGCGATCTGCGTGTGCTCCTTGCTCTGCCCCACGTCCTCTCCCCCCTGCCCTCCCCCCATTCTCGCCTGGCGTGGCGTCGATTGCAAGGAGCGCAGCGTCGGCCTGGGGTAGGGAGAGAGGAAGAGGGGACAAGACAGAAAAAACACGAGGTGTGAGTCAGCAAACAGCCACTCTCCCTTACTGTTCCCCCATTCTCGCCGCGAAGGCGCCTGCCTGGCGTGGCGTCTATTGCAAGGAGCGCAGCGTCGGCCTGGGGTAGGGAAGAGGGAGAGGGAGAGACGGGAAGGAAGGGGGGAGAGCAGAGAGGAGCATGGAATGAGCAGCCGCCTCACGTCCTCGCCCCTCTAAGACACACCCCCACCGCTTCTAAGGTGCCTGGTATGGCGTCAATTACAAGGCTTCTCAAGGAGAGAGGGAGCAATGCAATGCAGTGGAGGGAGGGACAGCGAAGAGCCAGTGGTGAGGTGTATCATGTATGCAATGCAAGCAGGCAGCCGCCTCACGTCCTCCTCGCCCCCCTGCTGCCCTCCTGCCATCCCTCCCCCCAGCCTGCCCCCCCCCCTCCATCCCCTCCACCCAAACTCTGAGACGCCTCAAAACCCCAAGCAAGCCCCCAGCTTACCTCTCCCACTCCTCTTCATACTCACCTGTGCAGTGCCAGCAATCATGGACGGTACCAAGTCCCTGTGCCCCGGGGCATCTAGCAGAACCACGTTCAGCCTGGTGACGCCAGGGGGGGGGGCGGGAGAGGGGGGTATGGATGGAGAGACTGGGAGCGGTGAGAGGAGTGGGGTTGGTTACAAAGTCCCTGTGGCCCCCCTGGCGGGGTTTGTCCCTGTGCCCCGGGGCATCTAGCAGAACCACGTTCAGCCTGGCGATGCAGGGAGGAGGTGGACGTCGGGGGTGGAGGGGGGGTGTGGAGGGAGGGGCAAGGGTGAGAGAGGGGGGGGGGGGAGGAGGACGGGGTGATACCAAAGTCGCTGTGACCCCGGGGCATCTAGCAGAACCATGTTGAACCTGGTGACAAGGGGGGGTGGGGGAAGGGTTGGGTGAGGATTCAGTGAGTCCTGGTAACCCTAAGCACGTGCACTCACTATGGGGTCTTGCATGCACTCACTTTGGGGACTCAATTGCATCTAGACATGGCCGTGGGCATGGTGACTCAATTGCGTCTAGACATGGCCGTGGGCATGGTGACTCAATTGCGTCTAGACATGGCCGTGGGCATGGTGACTCAATTGCGTCTAGACATGGCCGTGGGCATGGTGACTCAATTGCGTCTAGACATGGCCGTGGGCATGGTGACTCAATTGCGTCTAGACATGGCCGTGGGCATGGTGACTCAATTGCGTCTAGACATGGCCGTGGGCATGGTGACTCAATTGCGTCTAGACATGGCCGTGGGCATGGTGACTCAATTGCGTCTAGACATGGCCGTGGGCATGGTGACTCAATTGCGTCTAGACATGGCCGTGGGCATGGTGACTCAATTGCGTCTAGACATGGCCGTGGGCATGGTGACTCAATTGCGTCTAGACATGGCCGTGGGCATGGTGACTCAATTGCGTCTAGACATGGCCGTGGGCATGGTGACTCAATTGCGTCTAGACATGGCCGTGGGCATGGTGACTCAATTGCGTCTAGACATGGCCGTGGGCATGGTGACTCAATTGCGTCTAGACATGGCCGTGGGCATGGTGACTCAATTGCGTCTAGACATGGCCGTGGGCATGGTGACTCAATTGCGTCTAGACATGGCCGTGGGCATGGTGACTCAATTGCGTCTAGACATGGCCGTGGGCATGGTGACTCAATTGCAGTCTAGACATGGCCGTGGGCATGGTGACTCAATTGCGTCTAGACATGGCCGTGGGCATGGTGACTCAATTGCGTCTAGACATGGCCGTGGGCATGGTGACTCAATTGCGTCTAGACATGGCCGTGGGCATGGTGACTCAATTGCGTCTAGACATGGCCGTGGGCATGGTGACTCAATTGCGTCTAGACATGGCCGTGGGCATGGTGACTCAATTGCGTCTAGACATGGCCGTGGGCATGGTGACTCAATTGCGTCTAGACATGGCCGTGGGCATGGTGACTCAATTGCGTCTAGACATGGCCGTGGGCATGGTGACTCAATTGCGTCTAGACATGGCCGTGGGCATGGTGACTCAATTGCGTCTAGACATGGCCGTGGGCATGGTGACTCAATTGCGTCTAGACATGGCCGTGGGCATGGTGACTCAATTGCATCTAGACATGGCCGTGGGCATGGTGACTCAATTGCGTCTAGACATGGCCGTGGGCATGGTGACTCAATTGCGTCTAGACATGGCCGTGGGCATGGTGACTCAATTGCGTCTAGACATGGCCGTGGGCATGGTGACTCAATTGCGTCTAGACATGGCCGTGGGCATGGTGACTCAATTGCGTCTAGACATGGCCGTGGGCATGGTGACTCAATTGCGTCTAGACATGGCCGTGGGCATGGTGACTCAATTGCGTCTAGACATGGCCGTGGGCATGGTGACTCAATTGCGTCTAGACATGGCCGTGGGCATGGTGACTCAATTGCGTCTAGACATGGCCGTGGGCATGGTGACTCAATTGCGTCTAGACATGGCCGTGGGCATGGTGACTCAATTGCGTCTAGACATGGCCGTGGGCATGGTGACTCAATTGCATCTAGACATGGCCGTGGGCATGGTGACTCAATTGCGTCTAGACATGGCCGTGGGCATGGTGACTCAATTGCGTCTAGACATGGCCGTGGGCATGGTGACTCAATTGCGTCTAGACATGGCCGTGGGCATGGTGACTCAATTGCGTCTAGACATGGCCGTGGGCATGGTGACTCAATTGCGTCTAGACATGGCCGTGGGCATGGTGACTCAATTGCGTCTAGACATGGCCGTGGGCATGGTGACTCAATTGCGTCTAGACATGGCCGTGGGCATGGTGACTCAATTGCGTCTAGACATGGCCGTGGGCATGGTGACTCAATTGCGTCTAGACATGGCCGTGGGCATGGTGACTCAATTGCGTCTAGACATGGCCGTGGGCATGGTGACTCAATTGCGTCTAGACATGGCCGTGGGCATGGTGACTCAATTGCGTCTAGACATGGCCGTGGGCATGGTGACTCAATTGCGTCTAGACATGGCCGTGGGCATGGTGACTCAATTGCATCTAGACATGGCCGTGGGCATGGTGACTCAATTGCGTCTAGACATGGCCGTGGGCATGGTGACTCAATTGCGTACAATGCCCAATGCCCAATGCCCAATGCCCAATGCCCAATGCCCAATGCCCAATGCCCAATGCCCAATGCCCAATGCCCAATGCCCAATGCCCAATGCCCTCACTCACACACAACACAATGCATACAACCACTGACCTGGGCGTCTCGAATCTGCGTGTGATGTGTCGATTTTTTAGTCGACTCAAAAATCCACTCATCACATGGTGACTGGCGCCCAATGCCCCCACACACAATGCACACCACCACTGACATGGGCGTCTCGAATCTTGACATCGCGACGGACATGGTCTCGTCTCGCCTCTCGCCCCTGGTGCGCTCCTCGCTGCTCTCGTCCAGCACCCACGCGAAAGCAAACGACCCCTTGCCCTGGACGGACCACTGCTCTTACCCAGCCCATTGCGACACACCCTAGCTAGCCATCCTTCTTCGGGACAGAAAACACACCCACCCACACTCACTTTGGCGTCTCGAATCGGGACATGGCCACAGACATGGTCACCCCCCTGGTGCGCTCCTCACTGCTCTCGTCCAGCACCCACGCAAACGCAAACGACCATGCCCTCACTGCTCTGTCCTCATTTCTCTTGTGGGTGGGGTGGTTGGTTCCCTCCCGGGTACACCCATCATTCACACCCAAACACACCCACTTTGGCATCATGCACACCCAAACACACTCACTTTGGCATCATGCACACCCAAACACACTCACTTTGGCATCATGCACACCCAAACACACTCACTTTGGCATCATGCACACCCAAACAACCTCACTTTGGCATCATGCACACCCAAACACACTCACTTTGGCATCATGCACACCCAAACACACTCACTTTGGCATCATGCACACCCAAACACACTCACTTTGGCATCATGCACACCCAAACACACTCACTTTGGCATCATGCACACCCAAACACACTCACTTTGGCATCATGCACACCCAAACACACTCACTTTGGCATCATGCACACCCAAACACACTCACTTTGGCATCATGCACACCCAAACACACTCACTTTGGCATCATGCACACCCAAACACACTCACTTTGGCATCATGCACACCCAAACACACTCACTTTGGCATCATGCACACCCAAACACACTCACTTTGGCATCATGCACACCCAAACACACTCACTTTGGCATCATGCACACCCAAACACACTCACTTTGGCATCATGCACACCCAAACAGACATGGTCACTCCTCTCACCTGCTCCTCAATGCTCTCATCCAGCACCCACGCGAACGCAAACGACCCCTTGCCCTGGTTGACCAGTTGCTCTAGGTGCTTAAAAACACCTGGGCACACCCACACCCACACTCACTTTGGCGCCTCGAATCTTGACATAGCCACGGCCATGGTAACCCCTCTCGCCCGCTCCTCGCTGCTCTCATCCAGCACCCACGCGAATGTAAACGACCCCTTGCCCTGGCCAGGCCACTGTAAGTGCTTCCAAGCTCCAATCACCAGGGCGCACCCACCAATCACCCCCGCACCAGCACTCACTTTGGCGTCTCGAATCTCGACATGGCCACGGACATGGTGACTCCCCTGGCGCGCTCCTCGCTGCTCTCATCCAGCACCCACGCGAATGCAAACGACCCCTTGCCCTGGTTGGCAGCGTCCCTCTGCACTCGATGCATCTCCTTGTTGCTCACTCGCCCCAGCTTGTGCAACAGGTGGCCCATTATGGTCGATTTCCCCGCATCCACGTGACCCAGCTGTCAGCGGGGGTGTGGAGAGGAATGAGGGTCACAGGGCAGGGCAGGACAGTCATTCTGCACTCAGGTGTGTTTTGAGTCGACTCAAAACACACCGGGTCACAGGGCAGGGCAGGACAGTCATTCTGCACTCAGGTGTGTTTTGAGTCGACTCAAAACACACCGGGTCACAGGGCAGGGCAGGACAGTCATTCTGCACTCAGGTGTGTTTTGAGTCGACTCAAAACACACCGGGTCACAGGGCAGGACAGTCATTCTGCACTCAATGCATCTCCTTGTTTGATACCCGCCCCAGCTTGTGCAGCAAGTGGCCCATGATGGTCGACTTGCCCACATCCACATGACCCAGCTGCAGTGCGTGCAGGGAGGGGGGGGGGGGGGGGGGGGGGGGGGGGGGGGGGGGGGGGGGGGGGGGGGGGGGGGGGAGAGAAAGGGAGGGTGCGTAAGCACGTTGGTGAGTAGTGAAGGCTTCCCATCTCCTCCTTCCAGCCCCACTTTGATTTGATCCACCCCTCCGCCTCATACGCCTCTAAAGCCCTCCCTCCTTCCCACTCCACCTATCTCCATCCCTTACCAACCCTTTCCACTCACCACAATGAGGTGCAGAGTCGGCTTTTGAGGCGCCTCAAAAGCCATCCCTTACCAACCCTTTCCACTCACCACAATGAGGTGCAGAGTCGGCTTTTGAGGCGCCTCAAAAGCCATCCCTTACCAACCCTTTCCACTCACCACAATGAGGTGCAGAGTCGGCTTTTGAGGCGCCTCAAAAGCCATCCCTTACCAACCCTTTCCACTCACCACAATGAGGTGCAGAGTCGGCTTTTGAGGCGCCTCAAAAGCCATCCCTTACCAACCCTTTCCACTCACCACAATGAGGTGCAGAGTCGGCTTTTGAGGCGCCTCAAAAGCCATCCCTTACCAACCCTTTCCACTCACCACAATGAGGTGCAGAGTCGGCTTTTGAGGCGCCTCAAAAGCCATCCCTTACCAACCCTTTCCACTCACCACAATGAGGTGCAGAGTCGGCTTTTGAGGCGCCTCAAAAGCCATCCCTTACCAACCCTTTCCACTCACCACAATGAGGTGCAGAGTCGGCTTTTGAGGCGCCTCAAAAGCCATCCCTTACCAACCCTTTCCACTCACCACAATGAGGTGCAGAGTCGGCTTTTGAGGCGCCTCAAAAGCCATCCCTTACCAACCCTTTCCACTCACCACAATGAGGTGCAGAGTCGGCTTTTGAGGCGCCTCAAAAGCCATCCCTTACCAACCCTTTCCACTCACCACAATGAGGTGCAGAGTCGGCTTTTGAGGCGCCTCAAAAGCCATCCCTTACCAACCCTTTCCACTCACCACAATGAGGTGCAGAGTCGGCTTTTGAGGCGCCTCAAAAGCCATCCCTTACCAACCCTTTCCACTCACCACAATGAGGTGCAGAGTCGGCTTTTGAGGCGCCTCAAAAGCCATCCCTTACCAACCCTTTCCACTCACCACAATGAGGTGCAGAGTCGGCTTTTGAGGCGCCTCAAAAGCCATCCCTTACCAACCCTTTCCACTCACCACAATGAGGTGCAGAGTCGGCTTTTGAGGCGCCTCAAAAGCCATCCCTTACCAACCCTTTCCACTCACCACAATGAGGTGCAGAGTCGGCTTTTGAGGCGCCTCAAAAGCCATCCCTTACCAACCCTTTCCACTCACCACAATGAGGTGCAGAGTCGGCTTCCCATCTCCTCCTTCCATCCCTTCTTTAATCCACCCTTCTGCCTCATACGCCTCTAGAGCCCTCCGTCTCCTCGCCTCCTCATCCTCCCCTCCCTTGCCCTCCCCTCCCTTGCCCTCCCCTCCTCCCTCTCCCCCAACTGCAGCGGCTGTGGCAGCTGTAGCGGTTGTAACGGTTGTGCCAGCTCTAGAAGCACTGGGCGAAGCTTCCTTCTTGCTTCCTTCTGCGATCTGCATTTTCCCAACGCCAGCTGCCACGTCAGCAGCAGGGGATGCTGAGCTGGATGCACGGCTGCTGCTGTTGGCGTTCTTCACTGCTGCGGTTGCAGCCGAGGAAGCTGGCACGGCTGCTGACGTGGCAACAGCACGTGGTGCCACGTGTCCTCCTTTCAGGGCGGATTGGATGGCATCATCAGGTGAAGGAGTGGAGAAATCAAACGGCTCTGAGGGGAAGGGAGAAGGAGGAGGAAAGACAAAGGGAGAGAGTGGGAGATTGTTGTATTATTCTATAAAACGGTTCTGAGGGGAGTGGAGAGAGAACAGTTCTATTCTAACGGAAGTTTATCCTCCCCTCCTCCCCCCACAAAAAAAAAAGAGATCTGCATTCCACAAAAGCGTTTCCTCCTCATGTGTCTCATCCCTCACAAAAGAAAGAAGCAAAAAATGAAAAATCCCCCACCCCACCTATTCTCATCTCCCCTGCCGCTTTCAGCACCCAAGGCACTCGGGCCAATGGGAGCACGCCAAGTGGCTTCTGTCCCTCAGAGGACTGCTGCAGCAGCACACACGCACCCCTCCCCGCCTCCGCACTCCCCCTGCTCACCCTCCCATGCCCCTGCTTGCGCCGGCAGCGCGGGGCAGGGGCAGCAAGGCTTGCACCCAGAGGTGACACCTGGGGGAGGCTGGACCTGGAATTCAGGCCCAGAGGCGGTACTTGGGGAAGGTGGACCTGATTTAGGCTGATCCCCTTGGTCGGATCGCTCTCTCTTTCTGACTCAGTGGAAGATCGCGTGTGCGGCTGTGGCCGTAAGGGAGACTGGTGCGCCTGGTGCCTCTCTCGCCCCCGTGGCCCCTCCGTGTGTGTGCCTGCACACAGGCAGCAGCACAGGAGGGGCGGGAGCAGGAGCGGAGGCACCAGCTTGTACTGGATATACGCGGTTTTGATACATGGAGAAGTTTTTTTAGTCAACTCAAAAATCGACTCATCAAAGGAGGGGCGGGAGTAGGAGCAGAGGCACCAGCTTGTAGTGGATTTACGCGGTTTTGATACATGGAGAAGTTTTGCCCCTCCCTCTCTCTCCCCGTCCCCTCTCGCCCTCTCTCTCGCCGTCCCAACTCACCCTCTCCTCAAACGGCCCTCTCACCCTCTCTCTCTCCCTTGCCCCCTCCGTGTGTGACGTGTCGGCACACAGGCAGAGCAAAAGGGGAAGGAGCTGGTACACGCAGCTAGTGCGCGAATTTAAAGACAAACCTCCACATTCCACAGTTCCATGATGCGACCAGCAGCACATAGCCCAGTAACCAGCCACAGCATACCTTGTTCCGCAGCAGCATCAACGGCTGGTCTGGCGGCGCTACACACGTCGCATGAAAGGAAGAGCGGGTGGATTTCGGAATGTGCACCAGCCATGGCATACCTTGTTGAGCGGGTTTGGCGGCACTGCAGACGTCGCACGCGAGGAAGAGCGGCGGGTTGTCGAACGTGCAAGCCGCGCACCTCCATGTTCCACCGGCGCCGCCGCCGGTCGCTGCGGATCCGCCCTTGGCGGCGGACCCCCCAGAAACTGGGGCGTCAGTGGGAGGGTTTTCCGCTTTGCTCGGGGTAGTAGCGGGTGACTTGGATCCAGCCTTTCCCCCCGGCTGCTTCTGCTGCGATTTCTGCTGAGCTGATTGCTTCGCTTGTGGCTGCTTCGCTTGTGGTTGCTTCGCCGGTTGCGGTTGTTGCTTTCCACCTTTCTGGGATTTCGCCTGCAGCCGGCCTGCCTCCTCGTACTCGTCATAGTCGTCCTCGTCCTCGTCATAGTCATCATCGTCGTATCCGTCGTCCCAATCGTCATCGTCGTACTGTTCCTTCCCGCGCGGCATACCGTTGCTCTCACAATGCTACGACTCTTTGTGCGTCAGAACAAAACGACACAAAAGGGACCAAGACTGTAGGGATAAGCCCAAAAGATCTAAAAACGCCAACGGCGGAAAGCACGGCTGTTGAATGATATAACCTTGACCCGCTATAGGGCGTATGGAACGGACTAACCAGCCTATGGTCTGGTCGGGCTGAACGGACTGCCTACCTCTCTGATCTGTGGGGCTATGTAGTAATCTAACATCCCCGATTGGATAGACTATGGGGTGTGGCTGGATGTAATAGGCTAAACATCTTGGGATTGAGAGATCACTATAATTTGCAACGTAATGTAGTTGCATATTCAAGGGGAAGTTCTGCAGTAGTGTCATACATTCCTTTTTTTTTAATGTGGAAGTTGGAATGTGCATTAGTATTAAATTTGCTGACTGTGATTGACAAGTGCTAATAGAATTACAAATAAGTGAGGAAATTCAGTCGTAATAAAGCAACTTGATAGTTAGAGCAGCAATCAGCTGTTATAGATATGTTATGAACCATTTCGCATACTTTTAAGAATTTCATGTCTGAAGTTCACGAATCTTTGTTGTAACATAATGCAGACGGATCCTAGATTTCTAGTCTGAACTTTGTTTGGATGCATTAATTTCCACTTGCAATCTCAGTCGTTACAGAGATACCTCGAACAAGTCCCAGCAGAAGCTCTCTCAATAGCGGGTAAGTTTACCTTCTCCATCTACACCTCATCCCTACCAACTCGGTCCGTGGCCTTGGGATTTCCTTTCAAGCCTGCTTCGATTCGCTTTTGAACCTCAAATCTCAAGCCAAGCCAAATCACTTCGCTTTCTTTCCTCTGTACGCTCTCGAAGCATCTCCTCTCTCATTTACGGTAACTCAGCTTTTTGGATCCCGCGTTTACATTAGCTCCTGTGCGTCCTTACTTTTTCCAAGCTGTCAACTTTTGATTCCCTTTTCATGCTTAGACGCAACTGTTGGCAGCTTGAAGCAGCCGTTTCTTGACCCGTCGGGTTGTTCTCGAACCGATGACGAATAGGTGGGTGCGTCTGCTAGGCGTGATACACTACGTATAATGCTTAGAGGTCGTTCTCGTCAACACGCGTGGCTGCACGGGCTCCACGTGACGCTAGAACGCTATTAGTGGAGTTGCACTCCGATTTTCTTCGCATTTTTTTTTTTCCAAGTTCTGAGGCTTCCTGTTCCGACCCCAAAGCCATTACGCGAGCGATTTAGGTCAGCTAGTGACAGTTAGCTTAACGCAGTACATCTCTTGATTTCATTAGTATGAGCGACGCAGTGGTGCTGGTGCTTTCCGTTCTTCCATAGTTGCTATCTAGCTGAACCTGGTTTTAGTACCTTTAACGCATAACAGCAAGGGTCGTCTTATCGTCACCTCGGTTCTTGGTGGCTCCGTTTTCATCCTCGGTCACATTTCGAGACGTCTTTTTTATTGAATGTACCTCTTTTCGGTTCATACGCTTCGTCTGGCATCGCTTGGGCATTCGTTCTCGCTTTCGCATGTGAAATTCGGCTCATTTCATCTTTTGACATGTTTTTTTCCCCAGAGTTTTGTGCAAGTACTTCGTTAATGGAGCATGCAGTAGAGGGGACAGTTGTCCCTTTTCCCACAATTGGAAAGACAAACCTAACATGGTGCGGCCTCTGTTCCGTCATCCTCCATCTTGTCATCCCCCGTTTTTGTCAACCCCTGTTCTGTCACCTCCTTGTTACCCCCTGTCCCTGTCACCTCCTTGCCACACCCTGTTCTGTCACCTCCTTTCACTGTGTGTTCGGTGTTTGATTGATCGGGCTTGCACCATATGATTATTAATGCTGCAACAACCTCACTTCATGCTTACATACCTGCCGCTCCCACACCCTTTTCATCTCGTTCCAGCATCCGCTCTCTTGCGCCCATACTCCCTCACACCCACACACCCACATATCCACACACCCACATACCCACACCACACACACGCAACCACACATCCACACTCTCACACACCCACACACACATACACACCCAGCTGTTCCTCTCCATGTCCCACTCCTCCTCCGCCCGTTTTGTGCTTCTCCCCTCCACTTCAGGCGTGTGTGTTCTACCAGCGTGGCGTCTGCTCCTACGGCGATCGCTGCCGCTACGACCATGTCAAGCCCAAACCCTCCTCCGCTACCGCCGTTCCTGCTCCACCACCCGCCACTGTCCCACCCACACAACCGAGTTTTGCACCCAGTCTCCCCTCTGTTTCCCCCGCCCGCGCTGCTGGTGCGTCCGCACTTCCCTCTGCTTCCCCCTCACGTCCCACTGCTGCCCCGCTTGCTGCCGCCACTACCACTAGCAGCAGCAGCAGCAGCAGCAGCAGCAGCAGCAGCAGCAGCAGCAGCAGCAGCAGCAGCAGCAGCGCCAGCAGAGGTGTCAGCAGCAGCAGTGGGAGCACTGTGAGCAGCAATAACGGGAGTAGCAGACTCACAGGCAGTAGCAGCAGCAGCAGCACTGGGGCTAGTAGGGTCACTGGTAACGGTGTAACCGCCACTAGCAAGGGTGCAGCCTTCACTAGCAACGGTTCTGTTAGAGCGGCTTCCAGTCCTGCTGCTGATTCTCTCTCCTCCCTCTCCTCCTCCTCCTGGCCTTCCCTTCAGCCCCAAACCGCAGCTGCTTCCGCTACCGCTGGCAGCTCTAATGCAACACCTCAGTACCCCGCCAGTGGACCCCCATACCCATCCACACCTCCTGTCACCACGCCTTTTCATCACTCCCCCGTTCCTGTCCGCCCCACTTCCTCTTCCTCCGCCTCCTCTCCCTTCACTGCTCCCTCCCTCTCCTCTGCTTCCACCACTCACTCCTCCACCACCCGTCTTTCTGTTTCTGCTACTCCCTCCTCCTCCTCCTCTACCCCGCTCTCTGTCTCCGCCTCTCCCTTCCTCCCCTCTGCTGCTGCCGCCCCCTTTGTTCCATCCAGCCAATCAACAGGCTCCTCCACGTCAGCAGTCGTGAATACATCCTCTTCGTCCCTCCCATCTTCTAGGTTGACCCCCACCGCGCCTGCTTTCCACCCTCCCGCTGCTGCTCGTGCTGCTGCTGCTTCTGCTGCTTCTGGTGATGGTTCTGCTGCCGCTCTTACTACTGCTGCTGCAACTGCCCCTTCTGCTGCTGCAGCAGCAGCAGTACCGGTTACCACCGCTGTCATCCGTAACCGTTCCGGCCTCTACACCCCAGCCCAGTACTACGCAGAACGCGCACAAGCCTCTATACCCATTACAGGGACTATACCCGTTACAAACGGACTCGTTTCCGGGTACAGCTACGCCCACCCCTCTTCCGCTGCAGCCGCCATGCCCCAATACGACCCTGCTCTCTCCCCCGAGGCAATATTCGAGCGAGATGCGTCGGGGAGCTCATTGGACGGTCCAGATTGGCTGCCGCGATCTGCGAGCGATCTGTTCGACGAGGGGCTTCCTGTGATGCGCATGAGTAGCGGTGGAGGGAGTGGGGTGAACCAGAGAGGAAATGCAGCTGTATTGGGGTTTGTAGAGAGAGAACAAGGGGGAATAACAGGGCCCGAGGGTGGGGGAATGCGCATGGGTGGGACAGATCAAGTGGGGGGAGAGCTGGGTTCTGTGTTGCAAGGGCCGCAGCAGAGTGTGTGGGTGGAGAAGGACTCGTTAGTGAGTGATTCGCTAGTGAGTGACCCGTTTGGGGAGGAGGAGCTGGGGTTTGAGTGTGAGGTCGAGGAGGAGGAGCCGCAGCAGCAGGGCGTGTGGGCAGCGGAGGGGGGAGCGGGGTTTGCGAGTGAGGAGGAGTTTGAGGACTTTGTGAGAGAGGCGAGTGACTTCTCTGCTCAGGCAGCTGCTCTGAGAATAGGGCTTATCGCTCTCATGGATGAGGAGAGTCCTGGTTCTGCTGCTGGTGCTTCTCCTGTTGCTGCTGGTGCTGGTGCTGCTGCAGCCACTTCGGCTCCTGAAACCTCAGCAGCATCTGCAGCTCCTGCTTTCTCAGCAGCTGCTGCAGCAGCAGCGACAGCTCCTGCTGCTGTATCGTTAGCACCTGCAGCCTCTGTAGCATCTGTGGCCGCTGGTGGTGATCGATCAGACATTGGAACCCAAGTGCTTGACCCTGTAGGCAAGCCTTCTGCTGCTGGGCGGTTCCCTGTTGATTACTCTGCTGGTTACGACGATCCTGGTGGTTATGCTGCTGCCTATGCTGGTTACAGTGGCTATCGCGGGAATGGTGGGTATGGTGGTTACAGTGCAAACGCTGCCGATGCTGCTAATGGTGGTAGTGTCCCTGCGTTGTCAGGCAACAACAGCAGTGGTGGTGGCAGCAACAGCAGCGGGTACAGTGCCTCTTTGGCTGACAGGCTTGACAAACCTGACATGCCGCTCTGCACGCTGCCTCGAGTGGAGGCTGCTTCAGGCGCCTGCTGTGCCCGCGGCCCCTCCTGCCCCTTCCCCCACGGGGACCTCTGCCCCCACTGCGGCCGCTACTGCCTGCACCCTGCTCGACCCACGGTGAGTGTCTTTCTGTGCCGTTGTGCCCAACCTCCCCCTGTTCTCCTGCCCGCACTGCATTGCATTTCGTGCGAATCTCTCCCTCCCCTCCCTCCCCTCCCTTCCCCCACCCACCCCCTTACCCTCCCCCCACGGGGACCTCTGCGCCCACTGCGCCGCTACAGCCTGCACCCTGCTCGTCCCACAGTAAGCGACTTTCTGTGTCAACCTGCTGACATGCCACTCTTGCCTCTCGTCTTTCTTTTCATCGTCCCCACTCCCATCCCTCGCCCCGCCTCTTTCCTAACGGCCTGCCTTCCTGCCCGCTCCAGCACACCACAGGAGCGGGAGGAGCATATGACTGAGTGCGTGCGGCTGCAAGGTGCAAGCACTATAGCTGAGCTCGAATGAGTGCAGTGTGTGTCTGGAAGGAGTGCTGGGGAGAAGATCTTGTCTTGGTCTGAGTCCCATTGTCCACTCCTCCCAACAACCCATCCACCCACCCACCCGCACACTACAGGAGCGGGAGGAGCATGTGAAAGAGTGCATGCGGCTGCAGAGAAAAGTGCAAGCCTTAAAGCTGAGCTCAGAGATTGAGTGCAGCGTGTGCCTGGAGCGCGTGCTGGGGAAGGCCCGGCCTGCCGATCGCAAGTTTGGCATTCTCTCCCACTGCGACCACCCGTTCTGTGTTGCGTGCATCCGCAACTGGCGGGCTGCTGGGCAGGTGAGGGTGGGAAAGGGAAGGAAAGGGAAGGAAAGGGGTGAATGTGTGTGGGAGGGAAGGAGAAAGAGGCATCAAGTGTTTGTATACAGGTGTTGGTGAGTGGTTTGGCATCCTCTCCCACTGCGACCACCCCTTGTGTGGCGCATGCATTCGCAACTGGCGGCTGCTGGGCAGGCAGGTGGGTGTGGCGTGAGGGTGGGAGAGGGTGGGACAGGGGGGACAAGGGGGGACAGAGGGGGAAGAGAGTGCATTCGCAACTGGGAAGCTGCTGGGCGGGTGGGTGTTTTGAGTGTTGGTGAATGGGAAGGAGAGCAGTTAATCGTGTGTGCCGTGTCGTGCCGTGTGTGTTCCTTTAGTGCGTGCAACCACCTTTGAGTCGACTCAAAAGTCACCTTGAATGGGAAGGAGAGCGGTTAATCGTGTGTGCCGTGTGTGTTCCTTAAGTGTGTGCAACCACCCTCCCTCCTCACCATCCATCCTTCGCTCCCCTTCAACCCCCCAGCAGGACAGTGGCGAGTCGGTCCTTTTGGACCTGGACAGGACAATGCAGTAAATTTTGAGGCGTCTCAAAAGCCCCTTAGGACCTGGACAACGCAGCAACAGCATGCCCCGTGTGCCACGTGCGCTCACCTGCCTTGTACTCTCTCGCCCCTCCAGTTCCGCTCCCTTGCCCCAGCGGGAGAGTGGCGAGTCGATCCCTTTGGATTTGGACAACGCGGAAAGAGCATGCCCCGTGTGCCGCGTCCCATGAGTGTAACCACCTGTTGTTCTCCTCTCTCCTCTCCCCGTGAACCCCCCAGCAGGACAGTGGCGAGTCGATCCCTTTGGATCTGGACAACGCGGAGAGAGCATGCCCCGTGTGCCGCGTGCGGTTACACTTTGTCACTCCCGCTGCTGTGTGCTGCTGTCTCCCTCCTTGTTCTCAACCCCCTGCTTTCTCCCGCCCTACCCCCCAGCAGGAGAGTGGCGAGTCCGTCCCGTTAGACCTGGACAACGCAGTGAGGGCATGCCCCGTGTGCCGCGTGCGATCGCACTTTGTCACGCCCAGTGTGGTGTGGTTTTTCAGCGACGAGGAGAAGCAGGCTATTATCGAGGGATACAAGCGGAAGCTCAAGTGAGAAAGGGGTGGGAGGGTTTGTGAGGTACCTGGGGGATGTCCCCTCTAGCCCTGTCACTCCCAGTGTGGTTTGGTTCTCTAGCGAGGAGGAGAAGGGGGCTATTATCGAGGGATACAAGCGGAAGCTCAAGTAAGAACAAGAGGGGGGTTAGGGGGGGGGGGGGGGTGGGGGGGTGGGGGGGTGAGGGAGAGGCGGGAAGGCAGAGAGTAGAAAGGAAGGTATGAGTGTGTGTGTGTGGTTTCTCTGTCGGAGGAGTGGGGGGGAGTGTATCGCACATGGTGAATTGGGTTGTCTTGTCATTCCCAGTGTGGTGCGGATCTTCAGTGAGGAGTAAGCAGGCTCTCATTGAAGGATTCAAGAAGAAGCTCAAGTGAGAAACCGGGGTGGTTGGTGGTGAGTAGGAGGGTTGCGAGTTACTTGGGAGGTGTCGCTTATGCCTTGTCACACCCAGTGTGGTTTGACTTTTGAGTCGACTCAAAAGTCAACTCGCTTATGCCTTGTCACACCCAGTGTGGTTTGACTTTTGAGTCGACTCAAAAGTCAACTCGCTTATGCCTTGTCACACCCAGTGTGGTTTGGTTCTTTAGCCGTTGCTGTAGTTGAAGTGGCGACAATCTGTGCTCCTGTGGGGGGGGGGAGATAAGGGTGGGGGGGAGAACAATGGAGAAGCAGGGAAACGCAGACGCGTCCATACAAAAACACCGTCAGTTTTGAGTCGACTCAAAACCAGACGCGTCCATACAAAAACAATGATGAAAGTGAACTGCGTCAGCCATGTGGACTGGGCGAGCTGCAGTCGGGAAGTCACTTTTTGACGGCGTCCATGCAAAAACAATTATGAACGTGTGCAAGAGCGCAATGTCGCTTTCTGCATCACAAGTCTGGAGGTCTACTTACACTTGCCCATCTGAGCAAACTAAAACACACTCACTGAGAAAGTCGCACTCTCACCCCCCTCACAGGAGCACTGACTGTCGCTTCGCTACTTCAACGATGGCAACGGCCGGCCAGTGCCTCCGTCTCTCATCATCCTCCTTCCTCAGACTGTCACCGACTCCCCCTTCCACCTCTCTTTGCACCTGTTCTGTTCCCCTTTACTCCCCCCTCTCTCTCCCCCCACAGGAGCACTGACTGTCGCTACTTCAAGTACGGCAACGGCCAGTGCCCCTTCGGCACCAGCTGTTTCTACAAGGTGCTTCTCTCTCGCCGTCTCTGCTTGTCTCTCGCCCTTTCGCTCCTCCTTTGCTGTCTTGCTTGTCATGGTCCGGCTTACACGGTCTCTTTTGACGTCTAAAAATTCCGTTTGGAACCCGCTGCTTAAGGTGTGTGTTCGTCCTTGCATATTCGTTCTTCGGTGGTCTCAGTTCCACTGTATTGTCTCCTGCCCTTAGCCTATGAGTATCCTTGCCTCCCACCTCTTCGTTCCCCACACATTTTCTCATCTCCTCTCTCCCACTCCCAATCTTCCCCTCGCTTTTTTTTCTCACTTGCCTTGTTTGTTCGTTTTGGTTTCCCGTCACCCTTGTCCATTTATTTTATTCCGGTTACCCCTCTCCCTTCTCCATTCCATTTATTTTATTTCTCCATCCCTCCATTCTCCCCCTCCCCCCCCCCTCCTCCAAGCCCTCCTCTCCTCCCCCATTCCTCCCACCACCAGCCCGACCACCATGCACTCCCAGCCCGCATATCAGGACGGGCGGCCGGAGGAGGAGAAATTGCTGATGAAGCGCCTGAAAAGTACCTATTTTTCCCTCCTCCACCCCCCAAACCTCTCCCTCCCTCCCACCACCTCGCACTTGCAGCACGCATATCGGGACGGGCGGTTGGAGGAGGTGAAATTGCGGCACCTGTCTTCTGCTGATGGGAGCGCTGTCATTTCGAGAGACATCAGGTGTGTATCGAGTTGCATGGAAGATGTCATGACACTTCCAAATAATGATACCAAGTTGAATGAATATGCATGTTCTGTTTTGTGTTTCTGACTGTACTGACAAACCTGCTCCTCGCTGTTTTACACTGTATGCTGTTATCTCAATTGGCAGGTTATCTGATTTCTTGGGTAATGTTGGCCAAAGACGATGAACCTTCTTGAAACTCCGTAGATATCTAGTCAATGTGTAAAATCGAATTCTCCTATTTGTAGTCCAAACATATATGAAATCAGGAGTTATAAACCAGCCTAACTCTCTACCGTCACCCCTGCCAAAGGGCATCTTTAACTAAAGTTCTTGAAGAAGATATCTTGGACTGCTTTCCGTATGTAAGGAAAATTCCTTTTCCTTACTTCGCATCCCCGCTCAACGCGTACATCACTGTAGCACCTCAGTCAGCACCGTTACCACTCGCATCAATAATCCGCCCGCCATTTTTCGCATGTCGCACCCCGACCTCACGGCTCGGCGGTAACCCGCGCTCCGGACCTCCGCCTCGACACTTTTCCCAACCTCAGTCCCAGGCCCGTCGCGCGACAACCACAGTCCATTACCGTTACCACTATAGTTTCGCTATATAATCCTTCGCTCATGCCTTCGCTCATTGTACTCTTGCTTCGATAGTGCAATCTTCGTTCGCTCACTCCATTGCACCCGTAACACTTGGTATTCAGAGCCTACGATCTCTTCTCGGACCGCATTCACACCTTCGTTTCCCCACTATCTCAATTTTTTGGGGGGGGTAGACGTCTCTCAGCGATCAAGCACCGCCGCTCGTAGTGCTCTCTCGTAAGCACGCACGGCCACGATAGAGGCTCTCGCTACGCTTGACCGACACCCCCGCCATGGCTGAATTTACGCTCGCGACGTTGACACAAGAGCAGCTTGACCGTCTGATCCGTCAAGTTGAAGATTCAGCACTCGAGATTGCGACGCTCACGGCAGAACGTGACTCCGCGCGTCAGCAATCTGCGGCGAATGCTCCAGCGTCACAAAATGCACCTGCACAGTCAGACGAGCCGATTTTCATCTCGTCCGGCACACCAACACAGCACGACAGCGTGGGACAGCGCTCAGGCGCAGCCAGTGACAGCGCCGCCCAGCCAATGCCTGGTATGGGAGGAAACCGGGCCGCACCAAGCCCACGGGAGCCTCGTGAAGCCCGTCGGCACGTGGAGTTTGCGGCAACAAGAGGCGACCAGGCAATCATGGCGCCGATCCCACTCAAGCCGCAGCGCCCGCCCTGTTTCGACCCGAGCCAGCGTGGTGGTCCGACGGTTCAGTCATGGATCTTCACGATGAACGTGTTTTTTTACGCGAACTACGTCGAGTCGGACGCAGCGAAGATACGATACGCCGTCTCGCTGTTGAGGGGCCCCGCTATGGACTGGTGGCGAGTCATCGTGACGTCGCTACGCGCCTACGAGCCACCGTCGCAAGAGGAAGGGCCCGCGGGCCCAGCCGTCAACTGGATTTCATTCTGCGAAACCGCCCAATACAGCACGTGGGATGCGTGGTGCGTAGGGCTTCGGGCGCGCTTCGAGCCGATCGCGGCTTCTATTTCGGCGCGTCAGAAACTGCGCACTTGGCGGCAGCTCGGGTCGGTTCAAGACTATACGAGCGGTTTTCTCGCATTATGCGAGCAGGTCGGCTACATGCACGAAGCGGAGCGGGTGGACCGTTACGTCGGAGGGCTAAAGCCAGAAATCTCGCAGGAAATAATGCTACGTGGACTCTCGAATTTCAACGAGATTCTCGCGATCGCCGAGAAAATCGACATTTTGCGCCGTCCGAGACCGGGGTCCTACTACGGACATCGTCCTCGAGGACCGATCGAGCACGCCACTGTACACGCCGTTGTGACGAATGCAGCTGCCGCACCATTCAAGGGGCGCTGCTTCGCTTGCAACAGGCCGGGCCATCGTAAAAGTGAGTGTCCAGAGGAGCTAAGGCGCCGCGGAGCAGAGCAAGGGAGGGAGTCTCAGAGGCAGGGAAACGCCAGCAGTCAGTAGAAATTGGGCCGACTACTGACGAGACTGCCTGCTCGCCCAACCACACCGACCCTCACCGAGTCACAGTACCGATCCACGCTATCGATCGGGCTTGGATGAATAAGGAGGGTACAGCGACGGATTGCCCAGTACTGATCCACGGGAAAATACAGGGAGCAGCAGTCAAGATTTTTATCGACGGAGGAGCTAGTCACAGTTTAGTTGATACCGCGACCGCACGGAAACTTCAACTGACACTTAGCCGGTGCTTACCTGAGATTGATGCACGCTTAGTCGACGGCACACCGCTGGCTATACGGGAGAAGGTGGAGAGAGTAAAAGTTCGCTGCGGAGGGAACTTCGGGTTTACACAAGAAATGCTCGCGACGACACTGGATGGGCACGACATTTTACTAGGACGTGATTGGTTGCGACGTTACAACCCGAGAATCGACTGGACGACAGGCAGCTGCACCGTGCGAAGTAGTGGTAACTGGGTCGAACTACCACGCTGGCAGTCGCCTGAGTCGTCGACGGTCCACGTCAACGCCATAACAATGAAACGGGCAGTCGTCGCTGGAGCTGACGTGTATGCAGTGGACATCGCAGTGGTAGGAGAAGCTGAGCAGCCGAGTGATTTTCAGAAACTGCTGACAGCGGTACCGCCTGAACTACAGGAGCTATTGAAACGGTACCCGGGGATTTTCCCCGACGACTTACCGGAAGGACTGCCACCTCAGCGGGCGCACGACCATAGGATAGAGTTAGAGCCGGGGGCACAGCCAACTGTACAGCGCCAGTTCAGACTGACACAGCCGGAGCTCGACGAACAAAGGAAGCAGTTAGATTACCTGTTAGCGAAGGAGTTTATCCGACCGAGCTCGTCCCCGTTCGCCGCACCGATACTATTCACACCAAAAAAAGATGGAGGGTTTCGCATGTGCATCGATTACCGAGCGCTCAACAGGGTTACAGTGAAGTCACGATACCCCATTCCCCGCGCCGACGAACTGATCGACCAGCTGCGAACAGCACGGGTGTTCTCGAAGATAGATTTACGGGGAGGTTACTGTGAGAATAAGCGAACAGGAATGAATGAACTAGCAGTGAAATGAGTACAAGTAGGAAACCCTAGAATTGTGTACCCCCTATAGGCTAACCCACTGTAGCCTACACAAGCATAACATATATAATGTTTGACACACCCCCATAGGCAAAGTGGGGGAGAACAAGGGGTCACAAGACCAGTCAAGCAAAGCAAAGCAAGCTCAGGGTGGATCACAAAGTCACCACACAGTCCGAGCACAAGAGCAGGGCCAGAGGCCAGTTCACATGCAGGAGTACAGACATATATATAAAACTAGACAAGCAAGAGCAGGTATATATATATGTCACAGTACAAGTGAAGTCAAGAGGAGAGCAAGTGAGGCAAGACAGGCACAAGACCCAGCTGGGTGCAAAAGCGCTGATGGTCACAAGGCGCGAGTGCCTTGGTGAAGACATCAGCAGTGTTGGCCTCAGAGGCCACGTACGCAAGTCGCAACTGACCACGCTGCTGCAGCTCACGAGCAAGGAAGTAGCGGAGAGCAATGTGCTTCGTTCTGTGCTCCAAGCGCTGCTCTCGACACAAGGCCAGCATGGCCTTGTTGTCTACGTACAGCACTGGAGGAGAACGAGGCGGCTCTCCAAGGTCAGTCAGCAGGTAGGTGAGCCAGCGAAGCTCCTGTGCAGCCATGGCCCCGGCGTAGATCTCAGCCTCACAACTGGAGCCGAGAACAGAAGACGAGCGGGTAGCCCGCCACGAAACAGAGCCGGAACCAAGGCTGAAGGTGTAACCCTGTGACGACCGCTGCGTAGCCTGGTCGTCAGCCCAAGAAGCGTCCGCGTGGCCGGTAAGGACCACTGGACTCCGCCCTCCAAGCACAAGCCCCATGCCCGACGTACTGCACAGGTAGCGCAATACCCTCTTCGCTGCAGCCATGTGCTCTGGTCTGTGTCTCCCAGGAGCAACATAGCGTGCAAGAATGCTCAGAGGATATGCAAGGTCAGGTCGTGTGCAGGTCATCAGGTACATGAGGCAGCCAACAAGCTCTGCATACGGACCACTCGACTCTACGGACTCATCCGAAGGCAGAGCTGAGAGTGAGTGGCGAGTAGGCAGAGGAGTGGCCTGAGGCGAGGAGTACGTGAAGCCGAAGCGCTGAAGGACCTGCTGCACCATGTGTGACTGAGTCAAGGTAATGGTGCGGCGTGCTCTGTCCCGAGTGATCTGCAAGCCAAGGTAGCTGCGCAGTTCACCCAGGTCTGTGCACGTGTGTCTCTTCAGCAGTTCGGACTTCACGTGGGCGAGTCCAGCAGTGTCCGCTGTGGCAAAGACCAAGTCGTCGACGTACACGAGGATGTAGAACGGCGGCAGTGAAGTGTCGGTGCGCAGAAACAGCGACGGGTCAGCAGTAGAAGGAGCAAACCCAAGAGCCGCAAGCGTAGTCCTCAGTGTGTCGTGCCACTCACGTGGTGCCTGGCGGAGACCGTAGACTGGCCGTCGGAGGCTCCACTGGGTGCCAAGAGGGAAAGTCCCTGTGAAGCCAGGTGGACGGCGCAGCCAGATCTCCTCGTGCAGGCTACCCTGCAGGAACGCAGTGCTGAAGTCAAGAGAGTGAAGCTCGTAGTCGCGCTGAGCGGCTATGTGCAGCAGCACCCGAAGAGTGGTCATCTTCGGGGTGGGAGAGAAGGTCTGAAAGTAGTCAACTCCCTGCCGCTGACTGAAGCCACGAGCAACGTACCGCGCCTTGAAGACAGGTGGAGAGCCCGGCGGCCGCTTCACCCGGAAGATCCACATGCCACTGACGATGTTCGCCCCAGGAGGGGGAACTGCGTCAACGTAGGTGCCTGTGGACTTCCAGGAAGCCATCTCTGCATCCATAGCTGCCTGCCACTGAGAGGAGTAGGGACCCTCTACGGCCTCCGCG